CGCATGGTCAGTCCTCGTGAGGCACAATCAGCAGGATTGTCGGCCGTGTTAACATAACGCCAGTCGCTTACAGTAGTCACCTCTTGTATCTGGCTAACACGATTCGACACGAACTCTTTTAGCGCTCCTGGATCGGATCGTATCCACCATATTGTAGTCGTAGAGTCTGACCACATATAAGTAGATATAGAGGATAGGTTAAGCGTATCTCTTACCTTATTCATCAGACGAGCAGCAAGTAAGGCTGCACATAGCTCGAGCCGTGGTACTGTAACTTTCTTTAACGGTGCCACTCGTGTCTTCGACATCAATAGGTGAATGTGGACGGATGATTGAGCGACAACCTTTAAGTACACTACAGCGGCGTATGCGTGCGTAGATGCATCTGCAAAGGTATGGAGCTCATAGGTTTCATTTTGCTGGGATGTATTAAGCCAGCGTGATATGCGTACTTCTGGAACTGTCTTAAGCTCGTTGCGAAAAGATATCCATTTCGTCTGCAAGTCTTCCGGCAGATTGTCATTCCAATCTAGGCCTGTTAACCACAATTTTTGAATAAACATTTTTCCACGAATAATTACAGGCGCCAGGAACCCAAGTGGGTCGAACAGCTTAGCCACGTCAGACAGCAGTTGTCGCTTTGTAAATGTGGTTACCGTGTAATCAAGCTTTAGTGCGTAGGTCAAGCAATCGTCTTTGGTAGCCCAGACGAGTCCTAAGGTGTTGTACTCTCCCTCTAGCTGAAACTCCCGTGAAGATTTAGTTTCAAGATCAACAGGATCAATGGTTTTCAGCACAGCGCTTGAGTTGGAATTCCACTTTCGCAGGGCGAAGCCACCTGCGCGGAGAAGGCCTTGCAGTTCTCGACGTCGTCTGGAAGCATCCTCGACATTGTCTGCCCCCGTTAGAACATCATCCACGTAGAACTCATCAAGCAAGATCTGAGCAGCGTCAGGAAAGTTACAGCGTTCGTCAGCAGATAGAGTGTGCAATACTTTAATTGCCAGGTATGGCGCGCAACTGGTACCATAAGTGACAGTTTTTAATCTGAAATGTGTTGGCTCTCGGTGCGAGTTAGGTCGCCAAACAATACGCTGCAAATCAGTATCTCTCTCGTCCACCAAGATCTGACGGTACATCTTGGCGATATCTCCAGTGAGCGCAATTCGGTATCGACGCCAATTTAGTACAACAGCAGTCAGGTCGTTCTGTAACTTAGGACCAGAGTATAAGCAATCATTAAGAGACTTACCACTGTTGCATCGTCTTGAAGCGTTGAAGACGACCCTTAATTTCGTTGTGCTGCTGGATGTTTTCCAGACGCCGTGGTGGGAGAGATAACAGATGGGCGTTGAACCTTCTTCTTCTTTAGTGATGCTGACCATATGTTGCAATGATGCCTACTCGTTGATAAATTCTTCGTACATATCTCGCATGACCGGATCTCGAGATAAACGTCGACGAAGATGATCGAGGAGAACAATCGCATCATGGTGCGTAGAGGCTAATTGCGTTAGATCAGAATCCGGTTTGACTGGTAGCCGCACAATATAACGACCGTCTGCAGCTCGCCGCGTAGTGCGGTTGAAGTAATTCTCGACGAATCGATCATCTTGCGTTAGTGCGGGCGTTGAATTAAGCTCTTCCAACTCCCAGAAGCTGCGAAGCGTTTGGTCGAGATCGAGTTGAGTTTGATAGCAGTCGATCACATCCCGTGTCGTTACGAAAGATTGATTAGCAGAACTGCCGAAAATTACCCAACCCAACCGTGTACTTTGGCCAATCAAAAGACTAGTTTTGCTACGCTGTATTCCGCTTAACAGAAGAGCAGCATAATCGGCAGCATTTAAGATGACATCAATCGGTTGCGGTACGTTCCAGGTGGGATCAGCAAGGTCTAACTCACTAAAGTGTTGAACATCGTTCGGTGCAATAGCTACCGTCGGGGTTCGGTTTCCAACTCGAGGCAGCACTAGAGCGATGCATGCAAGCTCGAAGTCGGATTTCAATGAACGTAGATTAAACGTTACTAGCCCCTTTGCTGTAGCCACTCTATCACCGTTAGCACCATTAATAGGTATCTTTACATTAGACTTCACCAAGTGTAACAAGTTGACTGCGGATTCGCTGATGAACGTTGCTTCTGCCCCGCTGTCCAGTAAAGCTCGTAAAACGACCTTGTGTCCGGACTTTGACTTAACCTCAATCAGGGCTGTGCCGATCAGTACCGGCGGCAGCATATTAGGGTCTTGCCTTGTTTTGACTGCGTTATGAGAGGATGCAGCCTGTTTGCTCGTACTAGTCGCGTTGAAAGCAAAGTAGTCGTGCAGCATTGTGTGGTGCTTAGTTTGACACGTCTTGCAACGGCGCTCGGAAGAACAAGCTGCTTGCTGGTGGCCGATGTGCAAAAAGTTTAGGCAAAACATTATAATATGCTTACCGGAGCAGTTGGGACAGCGCCCAGATGTGGTATGATACCCAGAAACAGCAGAGGTGGTGCCTAACTTCTTTGGAGTATGCTCCTTTACGAAGGGCTTCGGCTCGGTGTAGCTTTGGACTATTTCCAAGGATTGTGTTCTACTGGTAAGAAACTCCTGCAGCTCCTTAAAAGTTGGAATATCGTCGTTCGACTTTAGGGAGAGCTCCCATGCTTTGCGAGTGGTGGCATCCAACTTGTGAGTAATAGTGAACACCAGCCAATCATCCCAATGCTCGATTGGCCGGCCCAAATGCTGCAGCGCACGTATAGACGACGTCACGCCATCAAGTAATGACCTCAGCGCAGAGGCAGATTCTTTCGGAGCACAAGGAAGTTTGCTAATCGCTGCTACATGAGCNATTGAAGTAGCTCCCACGCAACCTGGAAGTTAGCATCTGTCGTAGTGACGTTATCAAGCGCATTTTTTGCCTCTCCAGTAAGGCTATCCTTTAAGTATTGCAAGCGCTGTGTATCGTATCTTCGAACTTTTGAAATCCGTAACAATAGCATGCCTAAAAACGAACGAGTAAGCTTTTTGCGTAATTTTGTACGAAAACAATTCTGTGTCGGAGGTAAGATAAAAGATGAGAATCGATGTGTGTTTTCAGGAAATATTAGTGGTGTTTATTTAAACAGATACATTTGCCTTTCGCATATACGTATATTTTTATCCACTGCTTTATATAATCGAGCAAAAAAGAATCTTTGTTGCCCCTTATCGAGCAACTTGGGTCCGGCTTAATTATTTGTACAATGATTTTTCGGTTGTTGTGTCCAAACGCATAACCCGAATACAGAAACTTTAATATACACTTGTACTGAAATGATTAAACCTTTATTCGAAATAAATGTTTCGAATTATTAATAAATTCGGTTTGCACTACGCACTTTTTTTGCAAATTTCGATGTGGGTTTTTCGCAAAAATACTGTGATATGCACAAGAAATATTGTATACTTTTGACATGCGGAAGCCCCTCTTCTCCGGCAACACAAAAAGGAGAATTTTACTTAGTAAGAATTATAATCCCTAAGCGCGGCCGTAGGCAGAAGCAAGCGGAACAGTTTTCAATGGCTTGGAAGAAGCTGTTATTGTATTAACTGGATTGCGAACCAGTTCTGCAGGCATAGGAGTAGTTCTGGCTTGTAGTTCAACAATTCAACCAGAAGCCGACATAGATGCGCCTATGGTTACTATGCCCGGCAGCTCCGTATACCTTCGTGAGTCCATTACCATAGCGCGCTATTACTCCGCTGCTATAACTGCAAATGCAACAGAATCCATAATTTTCCTCAAAATTTTTAAAATCAATGGCCCGTAGTCATAGTCAAAATAAAGTCGACTTTAAAGTTAGTTGAAGCTTTTTTGACAGATATCCCATTGAAAATTATGTCAAAAAGCTGCAACTAACTTTAAAGTCGACTTTATTTTGACTATGACTACGGGCCAATCAATTTTAATATAAACAAGCACACGATGAGTGTTTTTTTAATTCCTTTCCACTTTGTTTTCCTTCATACAGATGAGTTCGAAAAACAACTGACAGCTGGCAATGCTGCACATGTTTCCGCAAGGGTTGCAGCATGTCGATTTTTCGTTTTTCGTAACGTCGCTACGAATTACGAATTACGAAAATTCGGGCTCTAGAATAAGGGTGTAAAATAAATTCTTAAAAACATGTAAAATATGAAAGATACCGCGAAGAAGAATAATTTTTCTATTTGACATCTTCTTCCAGACTAGACGCGAAGACGACGTTTAAATTTTTGGACTGGGCTACCTTGAATATTTTCGTTTTTGAAGTGAAACTTCTTAGGCGGCGGTATCGCAAAAATGGAGTGAAATTTTTAAAACTGAAAACGTTACATGAGTGAGAAGGAAGATATAGGTAGTATAGGGAAGGGGAAAAAAGAAATAAAGCGACGCATGACGGGTACGAGTACCTACATATCGTCGCCTGGATAAAAGATTGTCGTAAGCGTCATACGTACGTGCGTAAGATACGACAATCTTTTACCCAGGCGACGATATGCATATATGTATGTTTGAATGCACGTATATATATGTATACATATACAGTATATCTTGCTTAGCTGCACATCCTTCTTTGCACGAAAAACTTGTGCACGTAACCGAAAAAGGCACTTAAGCGAATTTTCTTTACTACTTCAATGAGGAAGGTATCCGAATCCCTATGAAACCAAATATTGGCGGAGCACTTACCATGTAGAAATTACTGCAAGCGAAATTTTTACCGAATGTTATCTAATTATCTATATAACTACATAAATTGATAGCCATTTTCGATGTTCTGCGAGATGAGCAAAATAAATAAAAGGTTGTAAAATTAGGTAATTGTAGGGCCAGTGCAGGTAAACGTAATACCTTCATTGATAATTGATACTAGTCGCACAATTTTTAAGGCAGGTATTGCCAATGTGCAGGTATGTTGAATGCATCTATCGGACCAGTTTCCTTATAAATGTTAAAAATAATGCTTTTGATGCGCATTTTGGGGTAGGTATCTTAAATGTGCACTTAAACATAGAGGCAGCAAAGCAAAACGAATTCATTGTGCATTTCAGCTCTGCCGCTACTAAGCAGTATGGGCCTGTTCGAGGCACGTAATAAAAGCGCTATATACTTTACGATGAATGGTATTTAACACAGACACATTGGAAAATATTAGGTGAAAGTTAATCGCTTTTGAGAGCGATAAAATATTTCAGGTAAAAATTCTTCTTTTGTTGTACTTCAGGAATAGAAGTACAAAAATGATAGGTAAAAGTGCACTTTAGCGAAATCAGACAAAAATTTATTAAAAAAATTCAAGAGGTATCAATCGACGCGTTTTAATGCGAACAACAATAATCCGAGACCGGAAATTCACATTTTTGATCCATTAAAGAGTTATTCGTAAAAAACACTTGCACTTTTCGCACTATGTTTCGATGAATTTGATGCAAATAAATGGAGTAAATGAACTCAACTGAACACATATTCATTCGTTTTTATACATTTGTGATGTTTTAAGTGTACACTTTCGCGAAATTCTGTATTTAATAGCAATATTCCGATGATGAAAATCCGCACAACAATCTTGCGTAGTTAATATAAATAACATGGAGGAAAACTAGTGTTGCCACTCTATTAAAAATAAAATGGAACTAAATTGCTGCTGCCACTCTATTAAAAAAGTTTTTGTGCGTCCAACTCCTTTTTGCGTAGGCGGCCTTCCACCGCGCTTAGGGATTATAACCCTCACAACGTAGATTTCTCCTTGCTGTGTTGCCAAAGAAAAGGGGCAAAACACCTTTTGCAGAGAACACCTTTTTGCGTAGGCTTAGGGATTATAACCCTCACAACGTAGATTTCTCCTTGCTGTGTTGCCAAAGAAAAGGGGCAAAACACCTTTTGCAGAGAACACCTTTTTGCGTAGGCTTAGGGATTATAACCCTCACAACGTAGAATTCTGCTTTCTGTGTTGCCAAAGAAAAGGCGCAGAGCACCTTTTGCAGAGAACACCTTTTTGCGTAGCCGGCCTTCGGCCGCGCTTAGGGATTATAACCCTCACAACGTAGAATTCTGCTTTCTGTGTTGCCAAAGAAAAGGCGCAGAGCACCTTTTGCAGAGAACACCTTTTTGCGTAGCCGGCCTTCGGCCGCGCTTAGGGATTATAACCCTCACAACGTAGAATTCTGCTTTCTGTGTTGCCAAAGAAAAGGCGCAGAGCACCTTTTGCAGAGAACACCTTTTTGCGTAGCCGGCCTTCGGCCGCGCTTAGGGATTATAACCCTCACAACGTAGAATCCTCCTTTCTGTATTGCCAAAGAACACCTTTTGCAGAGAACACCTTTCTCCTTCCGCTTAGAGATTATAACCCTCACTACGTAGAATCCTCTCCTCTGCGTACGAAGAAAAGGAACAGAAATCCGCTTTTCACAAAAGTATATTTCTTGTGCATTATTTGGGTGTTTTTAAAGTTGAAATACAAATTGTATTAATAGAGTGGCAGCACCAGTTTTCCACCATCTTAGTTACATTCAATACACAAGATTGTTGTGCGGATTTTCACCATCGGAATATTGCTATTAAATACAGAATTTCGCGAAAGTGTACACTCAAAACATCACAAATGTATAAAAACTAATAAATACATGTTAAATTGAGTTCATTTATTCCATTCATTTGCGTGAAATTCATCAAAACATAGTGCGAAAAGTACAAGTGTTTTTTGCAAATAACTCTTTAATGAATTAAAAATGTTAATTTCCGGTCTCTGATTGTTATTATTGGCGTCAAGACGCGTCGATTGATACCACTCTCGAACTTTTACCGTCAATTTTGACCTGGTTTCGGTAAAGTGCACTACTACCAAATTATAAGCCAAAGATTTAAATACGATAGTTTCAAAAATGTCTCCTTATTACTTAGCCTGGTAGAATTTCACATACAAGTGTAAACAGTATAGAAACAAAATTACTAACACCCCTATTCTGCAACACTTGCGTATTCAGATTTTGCTACGAATCGTAGAAATGGTATGCTGCAACCCGAATCGTATCTTGGAACTTTTGAAATCCGTAACAATAGCATGCCTAAAAACGAACGAGTAAGCTTTTTGCGTAATTTTGTACGAAAACAATTCTGTGTCGGAGGTAAGATAAAAGATGTAAATCGATGTGTGTTTTCAGGAAATATTAGTGGTGTTTATTTAAACATATACATTTGCCTTTCGCATATACGTATATTTTTATCCACTGCTTTATATAATCGAGCAAAAAAGAATCTTTGTTGCCCCTTATCGAGCAACTTGGGTCCGGCTTAATTATTTGTACAATGATTTTTCGGTTGT